TTTAGCTCCTACAATATCGAATTTAAAGGTCATCTATTCCTGTGTTGTTAATATTGAAGTTTTTCTGAAGGATCCTACGTTTTTATGGTGTTAAAATGTTAAATTCATAGATCCTTTAGCTCTTGTAATGCTAATTTAGAGTTCTTGTACCTCATAGGGTGTTCAACTGAATGGTTCCTCAGTTGCTATAATGATAATTTAGAGGTCTTGTAGCTCATTTGGTGTTTAACTGAATGGTTCCTCAGCTGCTATAATGCTAATTTAGAGGTCTTGTAGCTCATTTGGTGTTTAACTGAATGGTTCCTCAGCTGCTATAATGCTAATTTAGAGTACTTGTAGCTCTTATGGTGTTCAACTGAAAGATTCTTTTGCTAATTTAGAGTTCTTGTACCTCATAGGATGTTCAACTGAATGGTTCCTCAGCTACTATAATGCTAATTTAGAGGTCTTGTAGCTCATATGGTGTTCAACTGAAAGATTCTTTTGCTAATTTAGCTTTCTTGTAGCTCATATATTATTCATTTAAAAATCCTCTGACTTATATGGTGTTAAATTTAATTAAAGGCCCTTTAGCTCTTACGTTGTTAAATTTAAAGATTCTCTAGCTCTTATAGTACAGAATTTAAATATTCTGTGGTACCTATGGTGTTAAATTTAAGTATAAAGATGCTAAATCGACGTTACAGAAATGTTTGCTATTTTAATAGTAATTAAAACACGAGAAATTAAATTGAAAACGTAAAATCTCGACGAGATCAGCAATTTATCTTTTCGTTTATTGATTAAAATTTAAGGTTATAATGTTATTGTCATATCGTCCATATTGGTAATTTATCATTTCTAGCAATTGAAGATGGATCAATAAAGATTCATGTTTATCATCATTAAATATGGCGAAAAACGAATGAAATTTAATTAAGTTCATTAAAATGTCATCTCTTATAATTATTAAAATTTAAAGAAAGGAAAAAATTAAAAAAGAAAAGAAAAAAAAACCAAAAGAAATTGCATTAGGTGATCCGAAAATTCGTTTAAAAATGTTCAACAGAGGAAACTTTTAATTAGGTTCAACGCTGTTAAGTGATGTGATAAATATTAATCTTATAAATCGAATTTATTATTAATATATTTAATTTTCTTTTATGTACTTTAAATATTTAATTTAGAAAAATGTACTTGAAATACGTGAGAAAATATGTTTAATGATTACTTTTTCTTATTGTTAAAAATTCGGAAAATAAATTAATTCACGAACATAATTAAAACATAAATTGTGAACATAATATTAATTTATTGCTCTGCTGTGAATTCTATTATTATTATTGTTTAGGAATATAATTAGAACGTAATTTATGAACATAATTAGAACACAATTGACGAATCTAATTAAAACACGATTTATGAACAGAATTAGAACATAATTAATACACAATTTATGAACATAATTTAGAACATAATTAATACACAATTTATGAACATAATTTAGAACATAATTAATACACAATTTATGAACATAATTAGAACACAATTACTACACAATTTATGAACATAATTAATACACAATTTATGAACATAATCTAGAACATAATTAATACACAATTTATGAACATAATTAATACACAATTTATGAACATAATTAGAACACAATTTATACACAATTTATGAACATAATTTAGAACATAATTAATACACAATTTATGAACATAATTTAGAACATAATTAATACACAATTTATGAACATAATTAGAACATAATTAATACACAATTTATGAACAGAATTAGAACACATAATATGGATTTATGACTATTAACTTTACTTTGTAAAAACATAATTATAACATGAATTATGATAATAATATGAACACGAAAATACATTTTATTAACTTAAGACCATTACTTGAACATAACTTATGAATATTTAAAATTCATTTACGTATTTATTTTATGTTCATAATTCATATATACATTCAAATACGCACTGGATTATGTTATACGTATGTACTGTACATATCAAATATGAACGTAATATTAAACATAATAAAATTAATTATTATATACTTTATGGGTTATTATATCAATTAACGTATAGGATATGAATTTTAATTCATGAATGTAATGAATATTCATATTATGTTCATAAATTAAATTCTAATTATGTTCATAGATGATATTTATAAGTCGTTATTCAAATTATGTTTTTAAGTTAATAAAATTCAGTCTCATGATCATATTGAACATAATTTTTGAACATGAGGATGAGTTCAATTATGTTATTATGTTCAAATTATGTTCGTGAGTTCATATTCTATTCTTAAGTTTATGCAGATAATTATGTTCATGAGTTATGTTCAATTAAACTGAACATAACTCATAAACATATAAATAAATAAAAGAAACTTGAATACAATTAAGCAAAATTAATTACGTTTAATTGAGACACAAACTTAATATGTATATAGACTATATGTATTATTTTAATGTATTATATATCTATTCTAAGCATAATAGGTGTTCCTATACCTACATACCCTATACTGAATTAATCATTATACCCTACTTGAATGTATTTTTATGTATATTATTTTGCTGTATATACACTATATTATGTTAAATTCGCATGTATACTATACTTGGCTAAGTATACAGTCGTGTATACATGTATGTATGTGCAAATATGTTTTCCTAATGCACACAAACGCATGCATGTACACACATATGTCAAATACATGTAGGAAAGTAAGCATGTATGTATTATGCTTATGTTATACAGTAGTATATGTATGTAATTATGTTCTTTCTATGATGCACTAGTGAAGTTTATGCGAAGGAATGTCGAAAATATAGTAATATATGTATTAAAATATATGAAAATTAACTATATAATAATATGTTAAGGTACACAAACATAAAAATATATGTGTACAGTACATGTAAATATAAAAAAATAATCATGTTTAATCGAAACTTAACACGTATATAACTTATTATTGTGTTTATATATATATACACATTTACATACATATACACATTTTAGAAATTTTCGTAAATGCACACATTTATACATTGGCATATATATACAGATTCGTTTATATACGTTTCATTTGTTACTTATGTACAGTACATTCCTTTATACATGTTTTACATTACAACACCTATACACAAACATATTTTGGCACACTTTTCTATATAACTATGTAAAATAAAAAGTTATATTCGTAGTTAATTTGCTAAATTATTATATTATAAATAAGCACATGAACATATTTAATACATAACATAAATAGAAACATGAACATAATTTATTACACAATAAATTTTCTACACGTTCCTCGGTTTAGTTAACTAATTGAATAAATGTTTAATAAAATTCTTGGAACTGACATACAGACAAACAGACAATAAAATAAAATATAAAAATGATACAATAATTGTGTTTTATGTTCATTAATTTTTTTTTATTTTTATTTTTTTACAAGTTAATTGGGAAGATTTTAAGTGAAATTTTCTTAATTGTTAACGTGTAAAGTAGTGTTATAATGAACAATAAACTTGAACACTTCATAGAATTTATGCAATTAAATCATTTAAACCGGAATCAATACATTTATTGTGTGAAATCTGCATTTAACTTGTGTATTTCGTGAGTTACTAAACAATTAAAACTATTGTTTCTATAATTAATACATTGTTGTGTGAATTCGACATTTTAATTGTTTTATTTTACAAAAGACTAAAATTAAATTAGAATTAAAACAAATTAAATTGTAATAATATTTAATAATATATATATATATATAACGTACAGACATACGAACAGATTTGATCAAAAAGTACTATTATTTTTATAATTTTGTCTTCTTTTTTTTTCTTTATTTAATTTATAAATAGACAGACAAACTGACAGACTTCAGCAGAAATCATTAATATTTTATAATTTTGTTGCCTTTTTAAAAAACTTAATCTGTTAACGTACAGACAGCCTGACAGACTTGATTAAGTTATTAATTTTTCATAATTTTTTGGGAGTTTAAAACTAAATTAAACAGGAGAGGGGGGAGAGAGGAGGAGAAAAATACAAAAAATTCAGCTACAAAAACTACTGATTATACCAATTAATAAATGAAATTATTTATTATATTTACATAAAAATACAAATTAAAACAATATTTATTTCAAAAAATTTGATTTAAATATAATTTAAAAATTAATAATTCATCAGAAAAACTTACATATTATTATTATTATTATTATTATTATTATTACACTCCTCAAATGTGAAATTGCAACAGCATGAAGGAATGCACATAGACATGAAGGAATGTGTCTATGCACAAATAGCAGGACTGGTAGAGGTGAGAAATATGCAGACGATTAAGTTTGCTTCACATTGATACANATAATGAGTTAAAAAATAAATAAATCAATTTTTAAACCTTTTCCACTTCGATACATCTTTTTTTTTTAAATTAAAAAAATACAATTTTCTAAAAGTATATTTAATTATTTTTAATAATTAATTTAGTTTTAAGGTTTTTATTATTATTATTATTTATTTATTTATTTATTTAATTAAAAAAGAAATATAATAATGTAAATTTTTCTTAGCTTACCAGCACGAAAAAGTTGTAAAAATTTATTTTAGCGTGTTGAAATATATTTTTTAAACGTTTATAATTGTATATAAAATAAAATTCTGCTTAATATAATGCTTAAAAAGTGAAATTTTACCGTGCGAAATTACTAATATTTCACTTTCTTGCATAAAATTTGGTAGATTTAAACGTTATTTCGAGTGTTTTCTTATTTAAAAAAGAAACTCTCCTGAAGTTGAATAAAAACATCTAAAAAATGGCTTAAAATATACTTTAAAAAATACTCGGAATGTTTGTTAAATACATTTAAATTCTATCATTTATTCTCATTAAAAACATTGCATAGATATTAAAAAAAGAAAACGATATGCATGAAAGTTTGAGGAGAAAATTGACTTCTTTACTTACCTGTTCGAACTTGCTGGACATAATAAAGCACCAGAGTTAAAGTGGCGATGATGAGACAAGCCAACGAACGAAGCAAAATCATCTTCTCACCTACAATATGTCAATAGATTTTGGGACACAAAGTCCATCTTCTCGCACAGATACACCAGACCATGGATAGAAATTGAGTTTCTCCATAGCTGGAACATGGCTGCCTGAACGTTAAAACCCTCACATCCTATTGCCTTATCGAGAAGTTAACGTTACTCCAAAACAGCATAACTTGTCAATATTTGTCTATTTACATTACATTATCCTTTCTGTACAGGGAGCAGATCGGGGGGAGGTGTGTTTTTCCACCATACTAAACAATCCACACGACTCACATCCTTCGTATCCTTCGTTATGGACGGGTATAAGATCACTTATAACTTAATTATTATAACATAATCCTTCTATACTAAATGATTAGACTAGTACCTAATCCTGTAAGTTAATATGTAACACGGTTAACGATTCCGTCCGTTGTACGACCCTAACGATAATTTTCCTTTATAAACACCAATGTCTCATCGTCCCCAACCTCTGTCCAACCTTACTACACAGAATGAGAAGGGTCCTATGTGTGATTGGTCGATCGCCCAGAGGCAGTTGGTTCTACATGAAACCTTACAGACATCAACGAAAATATGTGTTGATGGTTTTAAGAAGTAAACCTTTACTACCTCATTCCTTTGTACACGTGTACTTGTACATATTTAAGTGAATACCGACTTAATTAACGTGTACACCTATACGTCTCTTTCCCTTTACTCTTGTCTGTTCGGTAATGGGGGGGGGTTTGATGAATGACGTCAGCGGTGTTTGTTTACGTAGAAGAATCGATGATTGGGAAAATGAATTTTGTAACTTTTTTAGCGGTTTTTAAGGATCGTGAATTTAGTTAATTTTTTTAAATTTAATAAATTAATTTATTTTTTTTAAATTAAGATTAGATCATTTTAATTGTCCCTTTTTATGGGAATTTATAAAAAAAATATATATTTAAGCTATATAAATTATGCATTTTAATTTTTTTTCTTGAATTTTTTAATAATTTTTATGGTTATTTTTTTATTTAATTTTTTACTGTTTAATTTATAACGACAATTTTAATGTTATTAAATTTACGATGCTTTTTTTTTATTAATTCCACTCTCGAAAATTGAGGTTTTATTTATTTATTTATATTTTTTTTATTAAATTATTGTAAAATATTGTATTTTTATATGTATATAAAAAAATCTAATTATCTTAAAATACATTTTAGAATAAAGGGTGGAGTCGGCTCCGCTCAATTTCTCCGAAAATTCTTCGATTTTCTATGGGATCCGCCCAATATCAAGTAGTGGAATTTTAGTAAGAGTCGACAAACTTTAACATTTTTTTTTTCGATTAAATTTTTGTTTATAATTCGATAAAATTCTTTGAAACATATGCTCATTGTGCAATGGGCAATGGGCAAATGACCTATTGTTAGGATTATGCTTCTAGAAAATGTTAATCATCTTACTATCGAATTTTAGTAGAGTTATCCTTCAGATAAAAAATGAAAATAGTTTTATATATACAAGATTTTTGTGTAATAAAATATAAAAATATTTATTCTAGACACTTATATACAGTAGAATAATGGATGTATGCAAGTAAATTTAAAGTTTAATGATGGATAATTAAGTAAAAAAGCATGTAAAATGTGAAAAAATAATCCACTCATTGTATGCAATCTCTTAAATTATTTTAAATATAAAATTTGCATACATTTTAAAACCATAGAAACAGTCACAAGATTGAATTTACATGCTGAGAAACTTATATTTACCTTTATTTTACAGGTTAGAGGAGCGTGAAAGACTATTTTATACCATTAAATATGAGGATAAGGCATAAATAAGTGCATAAAATATTAAATATAGAAAACAGTTCTATATATACAAGAATTTTGTATAAGAAAATACATTCTAGACACTTATATACAGCAAAATAAGCAATGCTCAGGCATAAATTTAAGATTTATTAATGGATAATAAAGTAAAATAATCACTCATTGTATGCAAATCTCTTAAATTATATTAAATATAAAATTTACATACATTTTAAAACCGTAGAAACAGTCAAAAGATTGAATTTACATGCTGAGAAACTTATATTTACCTTTATTTTACAGCTTAGAGGAGCGTGAAAGACTATTTTTTCATCTTTAAATATGTGGATAAGGTACAGATAAGTGAATAAAATATTAAATAAATGATGAAAAGATATATATAACTGGAGTAGAATTTTATAAAAAATAATATTATTTTCATCCCTCCACTCTAGGATAGAAGGAAAAAGATAAAAACAAAAAAAAAAAGAAGGGAAAGAAAGATCCTTACTGTATATAAATAGGCCAAATGCAATACCACAGATTGTAACTGTCTTTAAGAAACGTGTTTCAATGCCTATCTGTGTTGCCAAGAACACAAACCGTGCCATCAAATAGCGAATAAACGTCATCAGATGTTCTGATCACGTAGGACCGGAAAGAGATGCAGTAATACCACAAGACCCGACCTTGTTACAGTGCGGAGATGCCCCTATAATGTTTCCTTACCTGCATGGCCGATTCGGATGCGGAGAAAACACCTTTACAGGATGAATCCAACTTATAAATTATCGATACACTTTATACTCGAGAAGGATTATGTTCAATAAGGTTATAGAAGGTCAATCGAATGTTTTTTCTTTTCTTTTTTTATATTTGTACCCCTTAGGCGTTATAATGAGTTAAAAAATAAATAAATCAATTTTTAAACCTTTTCCACTTCGATACATCTTTTTTTTTTAAATTAAAAAAATACAATTTTCTAAAAGTATATTTAATTATTTTTAATAATTAATTTAGTTTTAAGGTTTTTATTATTATTATTATTTATTTATTTATTTATTTAATTAAAAAAGAAATATAATAATGTAAATTTTTCTTAGCTTACCAGCACGAAAAAGTTGTAAAAATTTATTTTAGCGTGTTGAAATATATTTTTTAAACGTTTATAATTGTATATAAAATAAAATTCTGCTTAATATAATGCTTAAAAAGTGAAATTTTACCGTGCGAAATTACTAATATTTCACTTTCTTGCATAAAATTTGGTAGATTTAAACGTTATTTCGAGTGTTTTCTTATTTAAAAAAGAAACTCTCCTGAAGTTGAATAAAAACATCTAAAAAATGGCTTAAAATATACTTTAAAAAATACTCGGAATGTTTGTTAAATACATTTAAATTCTATCATTTATTCTCATTAAAAACATTGCATAGATATTAAAAAAAGAAAACGATATGCATGAAAGTTTGAGGAGAAAATTGACTTCTTTACTTACCTGTTCGAACTTGCTGGACATAATAAAGCACCAGAGTTAAAGTGGCGATGATGAGACAAGCCAACGAACGAAGCAAAATCATCTTCTCACCTACAATATGTCAATAGATTTTGGGACACAAAGTCCATCTTCTCGCACAGATACACCAGACCATGGATAGAAATTGAGTTTCTCCATAGCTGGAACATGGCTGCCTGAACGTTAAAACCCTCACATCCTATTGCCTTATCGAGAAGTTAACGTTACTCCAAAACAGCATAACTTGTCAATATTTGTCTATTTACATTACATTATCCTTTCTGTACAGGGAGCAGATCGGGGGGAGGTGTGTTTTTCCACCATACTAAACAATCCACACGACTCACATCCTTCGTATCCTTCGTTATGGACGGGTATAAGATCACTTATAACTTAATTATTATAACATAATCCTTCTATACTAAATGATTAGACTAGTACCTAATCCTGTAAGTTAATATGTAACACGGTTAACGATTCCGTCCGTTGTACGACCCTAACGATAATTTTCCTTTATAAACACCAATGTCTCATCGTCCCCAACCTCTGTCCAACCTTACTACACAGAATGAGAAGGGTCCTATGTGTGATTGGTCGATCGCCCAGAGGCAGTTGGTTCTACATGAAACCTTACAGACATCAACGAAAATATGTGTTGATGGTTTTAAGAAGTAAACCTTTACTACCTCATTCCTTTGTACACGTGTACTTGTACATATTTAAGTGAATACCGACTTAATTAACGTGTACACCTATACGTCTCTTTCCCTTTACTCTTGTCTGTTCGGTAAATGGGGGGGGGTTTGATGAATGACGTCAGCGGTGTTTGTTTACGTAGAAGAATCGATGATTGGGAAAATGAATTTTGTAACTTTTTTAGCGGTTTTTAAGGATCGTGAATTTAGTTAATTTTTTTAAATTTAATAAATTAATTTATTTTTTTTAAATTAAGATTAGATCATTTTAATTGTCCCTTTTTATGGGAATTTATAAAAAAAATATATATTTAAGCTATATAAATTATGCATTTTAATTTTTTTTCTTGAATTTTTTAATAATTTTTATGGTTATTTTTTTATTTAATTTTTTACTGTTTAATTTATAACGACAATTTTAATGTTATTAAATTTACGATGCTTTTTTTTTATTAATTCCACTCTCGAAAATTGAGGTTTTATTTATTTATTTATATTTTTTTTATTAAATTATTGTAAAATATTGTATTTTTATATGTATATAAAAAAATCTAATTATCTTAAAATACATTTTAGAATAAAGGGTGGAGTCGGCTCCGCTCAATTTCTCCGAAAATTCTTCGATTTTCTATGGGATCCGCCCAATATCAAGTAGTGGAATTTTAGTAAGAGTCGACAAACTTTAACATTTTTTTTTCGATTAAATTTTTGTTTATAATTCGATAAAATTCTTTGAAACATATGCTCATTGTGCAATGGGCAATGGGCAAATGACCTATTGTTAGGATTATGCTTCTAGAAAATGTTAATCATCTTACTATCGAATTTTAGTAGAGTTATCCTTCAGAATGACACTAGAAAGTGGGCAATAAGTAAATAGACAAATGCCATAGCAAAAACAAGCAAAGGACAAGCGAATAAATGAAAAATGTAATGGGAAAATGCTCCTAAAAAAATGGGCAGTGGGCAAAAATTCTCCTAGAAAATAGACAATAGAGAAAATTGCCCATTTTTTTAAGCACCATCAGCGTAATTAATTTTATTTATTTAAATTTAATTTTTTGATAGATTCTATTTTTTTATATATATATTTTAAATGTAATTTCGATGAATTTCGACGTTACAAAAGTGAAATCATTTAATATTTGGTGGCAATTCTTTTAAACGCATTCCTGCACATATCTGCAGTTTCTCAATTCCGGTTGCAATGGTTTCCTTCATGCCCCATTTGATAATAAACCCCCCTAATGCTTTGACAAAGTAGATAATCTCCTATATTGCCCTCTGTTAAATACAATTTCTAAACGTCCCCTGATGCAAGTAACCATTATCTGCACCATTCACCCTCTTGGACATCTTCCTCCCCCCCTCATTTTTCCTCGAAAATTCCCTAATATTTTGGGATAAATTGACTGGTAAAACAACTATTAAGAACAGTTTAAATTTTAAATTTAAAAAAGGGCCTTAAAATTTTGGGTATTAATTTATTCCATATTTTGAGGTTACAAATTATAGATAAATGCTCAAATTTCATCACTAAATTAACTATTGATCTCACTTTTTGGGGTCGTGCGATGCGAGGCCCTAGACGTGCGTGTACTCACGGGGCCCTTTCTTATAT